TTCATATATTTACAGAGTTCTGTAGCTGTCATCTCAACTCCGTTTTAGAACATTTTCTTCAGCCTCCCCATTCAGGAAAAAATATTTTCAAAACCCACAACAAACCACCAGAAAATTGTTGTACAAACTCAAATAACTTATCCCCTACCACATTTACTATTTACTACATGTCATTTTAGGGCATTCTAGAACGTTTAAATGCTGGAGAGGTTGTGATTGGAGATGGAGGGTTTGTCTTCGCTCTGGAGAAGAGAGGCTATGTGAAGGCGGGACCGTGGACCCCAGAAGCTGCTGTGGAACACCCAGAGGCAGGTTGGTGCAGATCCAGTCTAAGTTCTCCTAAAAATGCAGTTAACGCTGGCCCAGGAACAGAAGCAAGCACAGCACCAAACTCTTGTATTCAGCATAAATCTTCCAAATATTTATTGTTTCTTGTTAGACCCTATGTTATGCATATAAATATAGAGTCACGGGTTAATGGAACAGTCCTCTTTGTTGTTATTTACCTACTCACTGGTCCCTGTCCCTTGGTCACTGAGGCCATTCAAACTTGTAGGCTTTGTTTTAAATGGTGTTCCTCTGACTGGTAGATGTCAGGAATTAAAGCAGAAATGCCCGAAATAAGAGCTTGGAAGTGAGGTGGCTTATATCACTATGTAAAATACCTTTAAGGAAGAATTTGAGTCTTTCAGATGAAATTTGCTGTAGTAAATATTACACAAAATGAGCAGTTTATCCTATGTTTATTAAAGAAAACTATATTTCAATTGAATCATGATAAAGGTTGGAAACTAACAAAACCCATAAACAGGCTGAGAGACAGCAGAGTTGTTGTTTTGTTTGTTTGTTTGTTTTCTTTTTACTTTTTTACGGCAGAGTTTTGAGGTGATATATATATGCACCTTGGAACCAGACTGCTTCAATCAAATCCTGTCATCCACTAGGCTATGTGACCTTGACGAAATTGCCCTGCTTCTCTGGACCCTCAGTTTTTTGTTCTTTAAGAATAATAGTAGCATGGACTTCCTAAATCTGTTTTAAAGGTTAAATTGTTATTATGTACTTTCAAGTCAGAAGGACTCATAGCTGACCAACCCTCCAGCAGATTTTCAGTCATTAAATTCCGCTGGAAGAAATTGTTCATCTTTCTCCTCCAGAGTTGCTGGTGTATTTGAACCACGTACCTTCGGATTGGTAGCGCAAATCCTTACTACTAAGCCACCACAGCTCTCTGAAGATTAAAATAGTTATTTGTATGTAAAGTGATTAAAGTAGTATCTGGTCCATGTTAAAGCATCTATGCATTAACTATTGTATTCTTGAGCTGAGTTGTTTTTTTCTCTTGATAATATTATTGTTTGTCTCAATCTGTTTCTGCTAGAGAAGTACATGAATGTATTCATGATGCAAATCATAACCCTAATTCATATGCATAGTAAAAGAACTATACTCATTTCAGGAAGTCCAGCAAATGCACACAACCATTATATTTCCAAATAAAAATAGAAATAATTGTGTGTTGTACCCTTAAAGAAAAAAAATTAGATTAGTAGGCCCTGGGGAAGCTAAAACAATAGTGCTTCTCAAGTTTCTGTTTGACTAGCAGAGTTTATTAAAAATATAGGTTCATAGACCTGACTTCCAGACACTTCATTAAGTCTGTGAGGGTTTCAGAGGTCTATTTCTAATAATTGCCCCCCCCAGGTGATTATAAAATAAATCTTAGCTTAAGAATTATAGCATCAAAAGGCTTTAAGACACTTAATGGAATAATCAATGAAGATCATGGAGTGAAGGTTTCAACTACATCTATGGGGCGGGGCGTTAAGGTCAGCTTATTGTTCAGCTCTGTATAAAAGATTCCTGAACAAAGCTACCACTAATGGTGTTCTGCCTTTGCCCAGACTGCCAAGCAAAGGAGGTACCACTGTTGTTCAAACAGCGAGTTTCAGTTTTGTTAACGACTTTAAGTTACACATTAGAGGAATTCAAGAGAATCTGCTCTGATACTGATTTTCTTCTATTTTGTTGATACAGAAACAGCTTATTCTATCTCTTGGTCTCTTGTTTCTTGAGCATTTTGAGCTTATTTAGGTATATAGAGCTCTATTTTTTCTTCTGGAATCTCCAAATTCTTCAAGAAGTAATGAAGATTAATTCTTGGACCATGGGGTTGTTTTGTGTTAAGTTGTTGCTGATTATTATTATTATTATTATTATTATTATTACTTCCTGTGCATCTGAAATTTCATTTCCTTTACATCTAATGTTTTTACTCTTCTAATTCACTTTTCATTTTCTAACTGATAGATAGAATTTTTATTGTCCTGCAGAGGTTCCTAGCAAACTGCCTTTCCATCTCCATTCCCACCATTTAAGCTTAACCTCAACTCCAGCCTCTCAGACTACTTGTCACTCTCCCATTAATTACCATGCTCCCACCTACATGTCTTTGCTGAACCTGGTCCCTCTGCAGGACATATACCACCACCAGCACCACCAGCACCACCAGCACCACCATCACCGCCATCACTACCCTCTGGCTTCTTTTCCTGGCAATAACATGGAATTCTTCAAAGCGCAACTCACATGATTCCTTCTCTGTGGGACAACCCTCATACCTTCACACCCACTTACAGTAGAAGAATCTTTCTTGCTGCATGTCTGAACCATGCATCATTGTAGTCTCTCGTCCTGTGATGAGTTGTCAGTTTCTCCAAGGATAAGACATGAATGCCCTCCACAAATACAGTCAATACAAGAATGTAAACATTCCTTTCAACCACCATCTGCTCAGTTACAGCAAGTTTGGGGAAGTTGCTGTAAGGCCTCAGGTCCACTTCACTTCAACCCCAAAAATGCATCAAACAAGCATAAACTGTATCAAATAAGCAATTGTTTTCATGTTTATGGGTGAGTCTTTTGAAAGCCTTGTGAGTGAATAAGCTGGTAGAGAGTCATGCCTTTCCTCCCTCACTCTCCCAGTCCGCCAGCTTCACCGAGAGTTCCTCAGAGCTGGATCAAATGTCATGCAGACCTTCACGTTTTATGCGAGTGAGGACAAGCTGGAGAACAGGGGGAACTATGTTGCAGAAAAAATATCCGTAAGTACATCTCTAAGAGGAGCAGGTTTGGTAAATAATACAGAAATGAGATGTGTATAAAGAACACCCTTAGGTTTTAAGCAGAAGTCTCCAAAGTTAACAGAAGAGCATTTAATGAAGCATCCTAAAGAAGTGTTTAGTGATTAATGAGTCTCCCTATCTTTGTTTTTGCTGAAGGAATCATCATTACAAAGCATGTGCTTGCACTGTTTTCATTTTTGTTGTTGTTGTTAATTTTTTTCATCTCTGAAAAGAAACTTCAAAAATTCCCTTTGTCTTTCTGGCTTGTAGAGTTAATTTTTAACGTGAGATCATTACAAAACCAAAACATCTTACTTATTATGAGTGAGTTTTACTTATGCATTTAAGTATTAAGAAAATAGCAAAATTATTGAATTCAGTGGTAATTTCAATATTCCTAAGCATATAAATAAGTCATAATTATCCTCACTGTTTGATATTGGAAATTGTTCTAAGTATAGCTTAGGTATCAGAAGACACTGAATCCCTTCATGTGGCAATATTAACCTTCTCACAGATCTACAGTGTAACATAATGCCCTAAGTACTACAATTGCATTTCTTATTTATAGCACTGTTATTGTCTTTTCAAACTACTCAATTCAGCAAATATTGACATAGTCAACAATGATCATTTTCTGGAATAAAATCACTATTGTAGATACAATTACGATATGAGTGTTTGAATAATAATGTTTTTTCTATTTCAAGAGAAAAATTTGGTATATCATATGTTAACTCACTCTAGGGACAGAAAGTCAATGAAGCTGCTTGTGACATTGCCCGGCAAGTGGCTGACGAGGGGGACGCTCTTGTGGCAGGAGGTGTGAGTCAGACACCATCATACCTGAGCTGCAAAAGTGAAGGCGAAGTCAAGAAAATATTTCAGCAACAGTTAGAGATCTTTATGAAGAAGAATGTGGACTTCCTGATTGCAGAGGTAAACATGACCATCAAAGATAAGACGAGCATGCTTCATACCTTTTCCATTCTCTTGCTGTTATAAAAGTGTGAATGGTGAAGTAGCAGTCATGACTGGTAATCATAATTGTATTGTTTTGAGTACCATCACGTCAGAACTGACCCCTACCTGACCCTCCAGTGGATTTTCAGGGGCAGTTAATCACACAGGAGATTGCCCGTCTTTGTCCTGCAGAGCAACTGGCAATAATCAAAAGGAATTGGTTCTTTTAAAAACTTGTGATGTGGTTGAAAGTTTACAAAGCAATGTTTTCATTTAAGCATTCATACTCGTTTTGTCCTACAACATTACTTTCAACTCCCACAAAATGATTGTCCTTTTCCCACTTCTTGTAACTCTGATTTCTATTCATCCTTGTCTGTCTCTGAGTCCACTTCCTTTAGTGATGGTGTACTCATCATCATCTCTGTATTGTATTTTGCCTTTCCCTTCACCCATCTTAACATGGTCTGTTATCTATTTACTAGTTTTTATTCCCCTCTCCTTCCCTTCTCATCCCTGTTTTCTATGAAGAATAATACCTGTGTGTAAAGCTTTTCTCAGTTTCTTATAATAGTGGTATTATGAAATATTTATACTTTTATGACTGTCTCATTTCACTCAGCATAATTTTCTCTGGGTTCATCCATGTTATGCAGTGATCTGTGAATGCATTGTTGTTTTTTAATGTAAACAGTACAACATAGTGCTGAGTCCAGATATGGTAGGAAATGTGAAGGGTCAGAGAAAGAGAGGAAGACCCTCAACAAGATGGATTGATGCCGTGACTGTAAAAATGAGCTCAAGCATATCTGAGATCATGAAGATGGTACAGGATAGGGCAAAGTTCAGATCTATTGTTCATAGCGTCCCTATGAGTTGAAGTCAACTTAACAGTAACAGCAACAGTACTCCAGTGCAAATGTACCATAATCTCTGAAGCCATTTGTCCATTTATACTTATGGTATTTCCATCTGTTTGCTGTTATAGATAAGGCTGCAATAAATATGAGGGTACGTCTGTTTGTTCATGTCACAGCCCTTTTTCTCTGGTGTATATATCTAGTAGTGAGATTGCTAGGGAGCTCTGATGGCCTAGTGGTAAGAAACTGCACTGCAATCCTGAAGACACGTAGTTCTAAACCACCAGCTGCTCTGCAGGAGAGGAAGGGCAATCTCCCTCTACAGGATTAACTGTGTCTGAAAACCCTCTGGAGAGGCAGCTATGGGTTGGGTCCAACTCAGTTGTACTCAACAACAACAACAGTGGGATTGCTGGATCAAATGGTATTTCTACTCCCAACTTTTGAAGGAAATGCCAACCTAGTTAATCCATTTTCCATTCCCACCAAGAGTGTATGAGAGTTTTGGTCTCTCCACAACCTCACCATCCTTTTTTGTTTTCCATCTTATTGAACATTGCTATTGTTGTCAGAACATAAATATTTTTTAAAATATTTTTCGAAGTGACTCTAATAATTGTATTTTTCAAACTTTTTTAGCTATAGCTCGCAGTAAGAAGTCATACTTAAAGGTTTCCTTCGTTTTAAAAACACTAAGTGATGTGTCACACTTCAGATTTTTAAAACCACCCATCTGGTGATCATTAGGGTGATCTGGTGGCCTAGTGCACTGCCAACCCAGAGTCTACCAGCTATTATTCTGTGAACGTAAGATGGGCAGACTCCTCCTGTGAGATTTACTGGGGAAAACCCACTAGAGGGTCTGCTGTGACTCAATTCCAACTGCACATAATGCCAACAGTAACTGTGATAATTAAGTTGTTAAAACAATATGCTATGTTTTCAAATTATTTTGTGAGAAGTTATATTAAAAGTATCCCACACTTAATTTATTTCAGTATTTTGAACACGTGGAAGAAGCTGTGTGGGCAGTTGAGGCACTGAAAGCATCTGGTAAACCAGTGGCAGCTACCATGTGCATAGGACCAGAAGGAGATCTGCATGGGATATCCCCCGGCCAGTGTGCAGTGCGGCTTGTTAAAGCAGGTGATGGGAGATTCTGTTCTATTTGGGCTTGTAATTATTGAATCTTTTTAAATGGCTTATAGAAGAACATTCATTTGCAAGTGAGTGCATGCTTTTATTAACAGTAAAACCACTAATTTACTTCTTCAGGAATATTGCTGTTAACATTATTGAATCTCAAAAAGAATATTAAAAATAAAATGTGTGTGCATGTGCACACACACAAGCAAATACATGCAACCAGGCCTATACTAGAGGTTTATACCTAGAAATGGGAATATTTTACTAAAACAGAACATTTTATTCCTTAGGAGCATTAGCAAACATTTAAAAACAACAACAGCAACTTACCTTTAGATGTTAATAACCTGTTAAATTTAAAATTCATTATCCTTATTGACAAACTTTTTGCGCTTTGCTTTTTGTAATTGGTAGAATAAATCAAGCAATTCTTTGGTGGGAAGTGGTAACCATCTAATTTATCTTTTTATATAAGTTTCATCCTCAATATTGATTTTACTTAAATTAGGGAAGACTTGGACTTTTCTCAAAGTAGCCTCATTTTAAACCAGAGAGTAATAGCTCACCATCAGTGGAGAAGACTGACTCATTCTGTGTAATAGGGAGATCTTGATTGACCGTTTGATTACTAATTTATCTCCAATTTCTAATCTTAAAAAAAAGTCATTTCATGCTCTTCATTAAAAAGAAATTATTTGAATCTTGAGATGAAATTACTTCATTTTCTTTGGATCCATAATCACTACCAATGACAGTCAAGAAATCAAAAGACATGTTACATTGGGGAAATAAGCTATCAAGGATCTCCTCAAAGTGCTGAAGAGCAACGATGTCAGTTGAAAGACTAAGGTGCAGCTAATCCAAGCAATATTTCAATTGCTTCTTATGCATCTGGAAGTTAGACAGTGAATAAGGATGACACAAGAAGAGGCTACATGTTTTAATTGTGATGTTTCCAAAGAGTAGTGAATATACCATGAGCTGCCAAAAGGCAAACAAGTCTATTTTAGTTAGAGGAACTGTAACCAGGGTGCTCCTTTCTGACAAGGATGATGAAATTTTGTCTTATATATAGTGGGCAAGTTGTCTGCTCTGCCAATTGACCCAATGGTAAGAATTTTTGTTTTCTTGATGTTGAGTTTCAATCCATAGTGAAGGCTGTAGTCCTTGACTTTCTGCAGCAAGCGCTTCAGGTCCTCCTCAATTTTCAATGTCATCTGCAGAACATAGGTTGTTGATGAATCTTCAGATCAGTCCTTGGAACAAGACATCATGCTGGAATAGGTAAAGAATCAGAGAAAGAGAGGAAGATGCAACAAGATGGATTGACACAAGGCCTGTAACAATGGGCTTGAGCATGAGAATTGAACAGGATAAGGCCAGCTTCAGATCTGTGGCTTACAGGGACACTAGGAGTTGTATTTGACTCGATGTCACTTAACAATAATAACAATAATAGTATTTGTATGGAAATTATCATAGGGGAGAAAAGCCAAGATGTTTCCTCTCATGAAGATCAGAAGAGACAGTCCTCATCACAACTGCCCACTGGCAACAATTGTATCTAATTCTTCCCTCATCATCCCTAGTGTTTTCTATTGCTTTACTCTATTTATACGGGAGCAGTGGTGGTTCAGTGGTAAAATGCTCGTCTCCCATGTGGGAGCTCTGTCTGATTTTTGGCCATCTAATTCAGCTCCAAGTTCCCTGTACCTACCATCCAGTGCTGTTGTGGTTGTCATCATTGTTAGCAGAACTGATTCAGATTTAAAGAGACCTCATATGACAAAGTTTTGCATAAGCACAATCAAGTATTCTGGGATCCCCATTCTTCTCAGAGTCAGCCACAGTTTTTTTTTGATCCACACAGTCAAATGCCTTTCTTTAGTCAATGCAACACAGAATTTCCTCTGGTATTCCCTGCTTTCAGCCAAGATCCATCTAACATTAGTTATAATATCCCTAGTAACACGATCTCTTCTAAGCCCATCCTGCACATTTGGCAGTTCTCTGTTAATATGCTGTCCCAGTCGTTGTTGGATAATTTGTAGCAAGATCTTGCTTGCATGTGATATTAATGATATTGTTCAATAATTTCTGCACTCTGTCGGGTCACTTTTTTATTGGAATGAGAATAAATATAGAACTCTTCTAGTCAGTTGGCCAGGTGATTGTCCTTCAGATTTCTAGATTTCGTGGGACAACTTAGTGAGTATATCCAGGGCAGTTTCTGTTGAAATATGTCAATTGGTATGCCATCAATTACTGGAGCCTTGTTATTTGCCAATTCCTTCAGAGCAGCTTGAACTTCTTTTTTCATCACCACAGACTCTTGCTCATATGTTGCTTCATTAAATTCTTCTGTGTCAGCCAATTCCTTTTGGTACAGTGACTCTGTATACTCCTTCTATGATTTTTTAATGCTTCCTGGGTCATTCAGTATTCTGCCCATAACATCCTTAAGCATTGCAACTCGAGGTTTGAATTTGTTCTTAAATTCCTTCAGCTTTAGAAATGCTGAGGGAGTTTGGCCCCTTTGATTTTCTGACTCTAGCTCTTTTCACATTTCATTATAATACTTTGCTTTGTCTTCCCACAATGCCTTTTAAAATCTTCTGTTCAGCTCCTTAATTTCTTTATCCCCCCCCCCTTTGCTTTGGAAACACTGCATGGTGTAAAATCTGGAAGACCGTATGCCAGGGATGTGTCCTATCTCCATACCTTTTCAATCTATATGCAGAACAGATCATCCGGGAAGCTGGGCTCTATGAGGAGGAATGTGGCATCAGGATTGAAGGAAGACTCATCAACAACCTACGTTATGTAGATGACACAATCTTGTTTTCTGAAACTGAGGAGGACCTGGAGCACTTGCTTCATTCAGTAGGTCAAGGCTTGAAGGTCAAGCCTTCAATATGAATTGAGGTTCAATATCAAGAAGACAAAGATTCTCACCACTGGGCTGATTGGTAGCATCATGATATATGGTGAAGAGATTGATAGTATTAACAGCTTTAGTTTGCTTAGCTCCACAATCAACACACTTGGTACCAGCAGCCAGAAAATCAAAAGATTAATTGCATTGGAAAACTAAGCAGTCAGGGACCTCTCCAGAGTACTGAAGAGTAAAGGTGTCAGCCTGGATACTAAGGTGCAACTGATCCAGGCCATGGTCTTTGCCATTACTTGCTATGCTTCAGAAAGCTGGACAATGACTATGGACAATAGAAGGAGAATTGATGCCTTTGAGCTGTGATGCTGAAGAGGAGAATTGAATATACCAAGAAGTGCTAAGAGAACAAACAGTTTCATCCTGGAGAGAGTGAAACCAGGCTGCTCCTTGGAGGAAAGAATTCTGAAGCTCTATCTGAAATACTTTGGGCATGTTGCAAGGAGGAACCAGTCCTTAGAGAGGCACATTATTCTTGGAAGGGTAGAGGGACAGCGCAGGAGGGGAGGACCCTCGATGAAATGGATTGATTCAGTCACTGGAGTAATGGGGGTAGGTATATCGGAGACAATAAGATTGGCTCAGGATAAAGCAAGGTTTAGGGCTGTTGTACATAGGATTACTATGAGTTGCAGGTGACTCGACAACACATAACAGCAACAACATATGACAAAGCAGAAGTGCCAGAGAGGGTTTTCCTAAGGAAAACTGGTGGTGCAGTGGGTAAGCATTCAGCTGCTAAACCAAGCAGAAATTCAAACCCACCACCTGTTCCACATGAGAAAGATATTCTTGGTGCTTCTTTATTCAAGATACAAAATCTTACACAATGAATCAAATCTATCAAGAAAAAAGTCGCATATGGAAACTCATTGCACTTTGAGAAGATGGAGTAAAAGAATAAGAAATGCCATTTGCTTCCACACACCTTCTAGGGAAAGAAACTTTCAAAATCATGTACATGATGACGTTGATAAATCATCTTTGATCCAAATATAATTGAGGATATAATGACTATGAAGAGAGTTTCAGGGTGGAAAACAAAAATGAGGCCTCTAAAGCATTTTGTTCTCACTAATCAAACTTCAAAATGACAGATTTTACAGGAAAGTTTGCTGAAGACTATCCCGTATAGTTTTTACTCTAGAAGGGCCAAAATGTAAATGAGAAACTTTCCAAAATGATGGATAGGCTGTTAACAATTTTCAGTATCAGAAGTCAAGGATTTTGAAGGGTTTATTTCCCCCAAAACATACTCATTTTTAACACAAAATTCCTTCTAGAGGACAGTTTTCTGCTAAACCTTTTCCTGAACTATATTCTGCTGTGCACGAAAAGTGTAATGCTATGCTTACATTGGTCTGGAGAAAGAGAACATTAATTTATACCTCAAATAAGTAGTGTGATAACCATAGGTGCACTCTGGCAGCTGGGAATATTGAAAAATTACTCTGTTTGTGACATAATGTCAAACTTTGAGAAATTAACTCCTAAAATCTGAAGATTTTTTTAAAAAGAAACCTTTCTAATAATGATTTTTTTTATTTTGTGTAAAAATTGGGCAGTCTAAAAGTATTATCTTTTAGGGCATTATTTTTATCGTGGGAGTATGCAATGAGGATTGCAGAGTGGATTATATTTGGGGGTAGGGGGTGGGGTTTGGGGAGGTGCGGGGGGGATTGTGTACCAATGAGGGAGTTTTTCTTTTGCTTTTCAAGGAGAGGAGCAAACGGGGGGGGGGGGGTTTGTGCGGGGAGAAGGGTACAACAATGAATGAATGGAATTCCAAAATCTCTGTAGATGTTCACTGAAATGAAAAATAAACAAACTAATTTGTTCCCATTCCAAAGAAAGGTGACCCAACTGAGTGTGGAAACTACAGAACAGTGTCATTGATTTCACATGCAAGCAAGATTCTACTGAAGATCATCCAAAAACGATTAGAACAGCACATCAGCACAGAACTGCCGGAAGTCCAGGCTGGGTTTAGAAGGGGTCGTGGTACTAGGGATATTGTTGCTGATGTTAGATGGCCTTGGCTGAAAGCAGAGAATACCAGAAGAATGTCTATCTGTGTTTCATTGATTATGCAAAGGCATTTGACTGTGTGGATCATAACAAACTGTGGCTGACTGTGAGAAGAATGGGAATCCCAGAACATTTAATTGTGCTAATGCGAAACCTGTACTTGGATCAAGAGTCAGTAGTCAGAACAGAGCAGGGTAACACTGCATGGTTCAAAATTGGGAAGGGTGTACGCCAGGGATGCATCCTGTCTCCATACCTTTTCAACATGTATGCAGAGCAGATTATCGGAGAGGCTGGGCTCTATGAGGAGAATTGTGGCATCAGGATTGGTGGAAGGTCTATTAACAATCTCCGTTATGCAGATGACACAACCCTGCTTGCTGAAACTGAGGAGGACCTCATGCACTTGCTACGAAGGGTCAAGGACTGCAGCCTTCAGTATGGACTAAGGCTCAATATCAAGAAGACAAAGATTCTCGCCAATGGACCAATTGGCAGCATCAGGATGGATGACGAAGAGATTGAGAGTGTTCACAGCTTCAGTTTTCTCGGCTCCACAGTCAACACTCTTGGCACCAGCAGTCAGGAAATCAAAAAGCGTATCGCGATGGGAAAGTCTGCTGTTAGGGACCTCTCAAAGGTACTCAGGAGCAACAGTGTCTCTCTGGAGACTAAGGTGTGCCTGATACAGGCCATAGTCTTTGCAATCGCTTGTTATGCATCAGAGAGTTGGACAGTGACTAGGGAGGACAGAAGGAGAGTGGATGCTTTTGAGCTGTGGTGCTGGAGAAGGGTACTGAATGTACCCTGGACTGCCAGGAAAACAGACAGATTTGTCTTGGAGAGGATTAAACCAAGCTACTCCTTGGAGGCAAGGTTCTGGGGCTTCGTCTGACATACTTTGGACATGTTGCCAGGAGGGACGGGTCCTTGGAGAGGGACATCATGCTTGGGAGGGTGGAGGGACAGCGCAGGAGGGGAAGACCCTCTATGAGATGGATCGATTCAGTGACTGGGGTAATCGGGATGGGTGTGTCAGAGGCAGTGTGGTTGGCGCAGGATAGAGCAGGGTTGTTTAGGGCTGTTGTGCATAGGGTCGCTATGAGTCGGAAACGACTCGACGGCACATAACAACAACAACAACAACAAATTAATAATAAAAAAAATTGGGCAGTCAAATGTGCATAAGTGACACTTCAATTATACTAAAGCCCTTTTCAGAGAAAGTAAGTTCTGTCTGTTGTAAATTGTCCTGGTCCAAAGGTAAAATTAATTTAGAGTTGGTGAGAACCAAATGGTCTATCTTCAATTCATTGTTTCAAATAAAAGCCACCTGAATAAGGGAGAGGAGCCGGACCTAGTGTGTTCCTGCCATAAAATGTTCTTCCCATTCACAGGAGCCTCCATCGTTGGTGTGAACTGCCATTTTGACCCCACCATTAGTTTGCAAACGGTGAAACTCATGAAAGAAGGCCTGCAGGCTGCAGGACTGAAAGCCCACCTCATGGCCCAGCCCTTGGCCTACCACACCCCCGACTGTGGCAAACAGGGCTTCATTGACCTCCCAGAATTCCCCTTCGGTAAGACACACTTTTAATAAGCAGTCTCAATATCTTTCTGTATGAAAAAATTTGTGATACATCTGTTGTCTTAGTGCTTTTGTGATTGTCTAGAAATAGTTGCATCAAAAAAAAAGAAACAAAAAGCAAACCAAACTCACTTCAAAACTCACTGCTGTCATGTCTAAAATGACTTAGCTAACCCTTCAGCAGGGTTTTTTGCTACAAATGCTCAAGCGGGGGTTGCCCATCCTTCTCCCTTAAACCTGCTAGTAGATTTGAACCTCTAGAGAGGCATCACCTTTGGCTTAGCAATGCATCTCTCTACATACTACATCATCGAATTGCCCTCAGGGCTCCAGATGCCTCCTTTTGTCTTGGCCTCATTTCTTTCCCTGTACCAACCTTGAGGGAAACGGATGGGGCAAAGAAAACCTCTGAACGTACGTGTAAAAGGACGACTCAACATCTGAATAGATAAGCTTTAGGGTGACGAAAAGGATGGGTTAATCTGGCAGATATTTGGGTACTAGTTCCAGTCTTGTTGCTGAATTTTGTGACCTTAGAAAAGTCTCTTCATTTCTTTGTATCTTAATTTTCTCATTGGTAAGGGATAGAGGAAACAGACTGGGGCAGAATATTTTCAAGGTTGTTTTCTCATGTTTTAAATTTTGCTCAGATAGTCTTCTAGAGTTTCAGGTATGAGGAGAAGAGGTAATTGTTGGATTACTGTACAAGAAATGTGAATGAAGAGACTGAATACACGCTGTTAAGGAAGTGGTTTACACACTTGCTAGAGGCAAAGACTTCTCTTAGTATATTTGGAAAGTGGAAAGGACGATCTTGAAAAACGAAACCAGAGAGGCCAGCATGGCCAGGCTCCTATGCCATTCTAAGACCTCTCTACAGCTCTTATGTATAAATGGAGCTCTGGTAGCCTAGTGGTAAGAACTTGCACTGCCAAACCAATAGCATGTGATTCAAATCCACCAGTTGCTCTGTGAGAAAAAGACGGGCAGTCTCCACCTCTGCAATTTGTCCCCTCTGAAAACCCAATGGAGGGTCAGCTGTGAATAAGTTCTGACTCAATGGCACATAACAACAGCAATATCCTATAGGGACTTTCAGAGAACTGATAAAGAAGATTGATATTATGGCATCATCACTCTGGCAAAATAGCAAGACATTTGTGTTATCTACTGTGTAAAACAAATTACCACAAAACGTAATGGCTTAAAACAATAAACTGCCTCACCGTTTCTGTGGGTCAGGCAGGTGGGAGCAGCTTAGTGGGGCAGCGTGGGCTGAGGATCTCTGATAAACCTACAGCACGCACGTTGGCTGAGTCTATAGTCTTTTATAGAAGGACTCATGAGAACTAGGGGTTCCACTTCCAAACTCTGACTGTAGGCCAGTCAGTGTCAGTTTCTTGCTGGTTATTAGCTGGCGCTCTCAGTTTCTTATTCCAGGGCCTTTCCATAGTGATGCTGGAATACTCTTGTACATGGCTTCTCCCAACATAAGTGTTCCAAAAGCAAGCAAATCAGAAACCATGTCTTTCGTGGCCTACTCTCAGAACTCATATACCAGCCCATCTGCATTTATAACCATAAAGTGCCTAGTTATTTAAAACAAGATCCAGACCATAGTCTTTGCAATTACTTGCTATGCATCAGAAAGCTGGACAATGACTAGGGATAATAGAAGGAGAATTGATGCCTTTGAGCTTTGGTGCTGGAGAAGAGTATTGAATATACCACAGATTGCTAGGAGAACAAACAGGTTCATCCTAGAAAAGGTGAGACCAGGCTACTCGTTGGAGGCAAGGATCCTGAAGCTTTGTCTGACATACTTTGGACATATTGCAAGGCGGGACCAGTGCTTGGAGAAGGACGTAATGCTTGGGAGGGTGGAGGGACAGTGCAGGAGAGGATGAGATGGATTGATTCAGTGACTAGGTAATGCGGGTAGGTGTGTCAGAGATAATGAGATTGGCACAGGATAGAGAAGGGTTTAAGGCTGTTTGTTGTACATAAGGTTGCTATGAGTTGCAGGTGACTTGATGGCACATAACAACAACATACTTGTTATAACTATTTATATTTAATGTCTTTTTGTAAAAAAACACAAGGCAAAATAACATTTATTACAGGTCTGGAACCCAGAGTTGCAACCAGATGGGATATTCAAAAGTATGCCAGAGAGGCCTATAATCTGGGTGTCCGGTACATTGGTGGGTGTTGTGGATTTGAGCCCTACCACATTCGAGCCATTGCCGAGGAGCTGGCCCCAGAAAGGGGATTTTTGCCACCAGCTTCAGAAAAACATGGCAGCTGGGGAAGTGGTTTGGACATGCACACGAAACCCTGGGTTCGAGCAAGGTGAGTATTCTTAAACTATCTAACCCAAACTCATGCAGCTTATGAGGTTTTCCAAGTGGGGCCAGGACAAAGACTGCAGCAAATAGACTGCGTGATGGTGAAGAATTCCTTACCCTTCTTCAGTTTCTCAGAGATACATAGTAAACATCCTTATGGATGATTTATTAAGAAAGGCTTTAAGATAAAAGAACATAAACGATGTGCCAATGAAATGTGATTTCAAGCCTTAGTTAAAGGATCATCCCCATGATGCCTTTGAACCGTGATGCTGGCAAAGAGTATTGGAAGTCCCACGGCCTGCCAAAAGAATGAACAAATTGGCTTTGGAGCAAGTGTAACCAGGGTTCTCCTTAGAGACAAGGATGGAGAAGCTTACCTTACATATTTTGGGCATGTTATCAGTCCTCAGAAAAAGACATTATACTGGGGAAAATAGCTATTATTTTTGTGATGGTCCAGTAAGTTGGAACCAGCTGATATCTGGCTCTCTGCTGGGTTTCAGAGGCTGTAAGTCACTTCGGCTGTAGGTCAAGAGCTTGTTCATCTTTCTCTCGGGGAGAAAGCACCTGGGGGATGCGAACCACATGCCTTTGGGTTGGCAGTGAAACTCTTTACCACTAAGCCACCAGAGAAGCGGAGGGTCAGTGATAAAGACGACCCTCAACAAGAGGAGTCGACACAGTGATCACAACTGCAGGCTTAGGCATGGCGGAGATTGTGAGGGTGGCACAGCCTTGAGTGAGGTTTCTGTCTGTTGTTCGTAGGGTCTCTGTGAGTTAGAGTTGATCAAGTGGCCCCTAACAATGTGTGATGTGTGATAATATTGAATGTCATTGATGGTCAAGAAAAAAGCCAAACTTAAATGTAGCAGATATTGAGAAAGTGGCTCTTCTATGTTAAGTATGATTTTCAGAGCTGAAAACACAGTGGTGAACAAGACAGAGCTTAGATTCTAGTGAGAGAGAAATAATCAACAAGCATAAATATTGCGTGTCAGGTTATTTTGCAGGGCTCCAGACATGCAGAAATGAAAAGCTGCGGTCCCTGACACAGAGAATTTTGCAGTCTACTTGGGAAAACGGATATGAAAACCATCATATTAGAATGCAGTAGCTGCTTTAGAAGATGCAAGGATTTATAGGCAAAAATTCTAAGAAAGGACCTGAGTATTTATGCCTAATAGGAAGATATTTGAAAAGCTTGGTTTTGAATACTAACTAGGGATCCATTAGAGGGAAGATGGAGATTTCCCTCCTTGAACAGATGCTAACTGAACACAACTAGCCTGACTGAGACCCAGTGGCCACTGGGAAGGTAGTGAGCCTAACAATACAGCAAGCAGAGGCATAAATGGAGAAGTCCAAAGCAATCCCATACACTCAAGAATAAAGAGAAACACAGGTGCCAAGAGCTCATGCCCTGCTGTGGGGGCCAAGACAGGTGGGTGGTGTTAACGAGGGGCCCCCTAATAATGTGATGCCTGAGCTGAATTATGATCAATTACATCAGCATAAAAGGAAACAGCCTTGCAGGAAGGCACTGAGAGGTAGAAGAGGGTGGTGTGTTAGAAAAGTTAGGCATTTAAGAGAATTAGAGACAAATTTTGATAGAAGACATACTTTAGAAATATAGGAGGAGGCCTTTTTGCATAATGTTCAGGAGCGCCATGTACAACTTCACCCCAAAGGAGTCTGGAGGCATCTTACCCAAGATTGCACGATTAGAGTTGCAAAAGCATGTGCTGTGATGGACTGCTATCCAAAAGCTTCGCAGTTCACAGTCACCAGCTGCTTCATAGAAAGATAAGACACTCTGCACCTGTAAAGGTTTAACCACGTCAGAAACCCACCAGAGGTTCACTGTGAGTTGGAATTGACCCAAAAGCAGTGCGTTTGGATTTGCTGTCTTTTGGGTTTTAATGTGGTGGCAGGGAAATGTGAATAAGACTTTGCTAGAATAGATACTTAACTGGGTCTGAACTAGGGGGAGTTGGTGGAAACAGAAAAGAGAATGACACAGACTCTGTAGTCGGCAGCAAGTGATACAGGGTTTGTGGGAGAGCAACAAAGATGGGCTCAGCTGGCTCCAGGGGACAGAGAAAAGAAAGTGTGTCTGGAGAAGGAAGGTAAAGTGCTTATAAAATCTTCCTGTCTTCAGTTCTTAGTTTCTTAATACTATAAAACAAACAACAACAACAACAGAAAAACCACACACAAAACAAAAAAATAACCCAACTGCCATTGAATCAATTCTCCTGTGTTCCAGAATCTGCGAATCTTTATTGGAACAGAGTGTCTTATCTTTCTGCCGCAGAGCAGCTGGGCAAGTTTGAACCTTTCAGTTAGCAGCTCAACAAGTAGTGCACCTGCCACCAGGGGCCCATCTGTTCATGTTCAAAAAAGAAATTCAAAGTAACATTAGACTTACACCTTCTGAGGAGAAAAAGCTTTAATTCACACTAATTAAATGTGTTTCAGTGGGCATCCTCTCAGCATCTAAACAAAGATAGCTCCACGTGCATATTTCGAGCTCTACAGCGTCCAGAGAGCAGTACAAGGGGAGGGGTCTAACACCGGTTTGTTTGGCTCACGCAGGGCCCGGAAAGAATACTGGGAGAATCTCCGGATTGCCTCTGGGAGGCCGTACAACCCTTCCATGTCCAAACCTGATAACTGGGGAGTGACCAAAGGAACCAGCGAGCTGATGCAGCAGAGGGAGGCCACGACCAACCAGCAGCTGAAAGAGCTCTTTGAAAAACAGAAATTCAAGTCTGCGCAATAGCTTCAGAACATCTTCAGGTGTTCGAATATATATGTTAGTGAATTCTTTGTTTGGCCACAGTCCCTGGAAATATGGGAAACATGGTTTCAAAAGCAATGCATGTATTAATGTCAGACTGTACATTTGAATGAAGGAAGGAGAAGTAAAATAGCACTTGACAATTTAAAAAGGATGTTTAAGAAGTTTGCTGAGAAGTAAACCTTCAGTAATTTTATGAAGCATTTGGACAGGAGAAAATCCTTTGGGCATTAATCCTGCTTGAAGACGTTGTCTAGTTTGTAAGGAAAATTAACCATGACCTGTCATAAATGACTCAGCAACCAGAAAGGCATAGAGACAACACTGTGCAAAAGTGCTTTCTAAGTCCTTTGAACACCAGCCAGAGTGAAAACAAACAAGCAAACAACAATTTGCTTTGACCATTCCTTCTGTTCACTTCCATTAATTAAAACAATGTTAATTAAGACACATTGATTTCCTCCTCATAAATCAGTGTTAAAAACATTGCTTATTGGCTGTTTCAGATATGGTGGCTTTCCTGTAACTTAACATTTATTCTTATCTAAAGATCAAGGTCATTTGCAATCAATAACTATCCAAATTCCAAACTTCTCCTTCTGAGTTTAGGTTTCTCTCTCTCCTTTCTCTACCTCCAAGAAATATAAACCAATGTACTGATATGTAGAAGCCGCTATCCTGCTCAAAACTCAATTGACTTAAATATTTCAAATTAAAAAATAAAACCAACCAGACAAACACAAACTAAAGAGTAATTAGCTTATTACTCTCATGATCAAAATTTCCAAACTCTGACTTGGTTTCTTACATTGAGAACTGTGATGTTTTCAATCTGACAATTTAGTATCTACTTTCCTCTGACTCAGTCCAAAAAATGCATGATCGGAATGAATTTGACTACCCTTAACACATGGAAAACTTCATATACTGTCTTATGAAACATTCCTGAATGTGGTTTGCCCTTTTTTTGAAATTGTATTTTTTTTTTTTAGCTATTAAAAAAAAATACTGTCTTGGTTTTCTTTGATTCTTTAATTCTACGGTTCGCTAAATCCAGAATGAAACTGCTTTGCTTGATTTCTCCATCTAATAAGTAGCAAATGCTATATCCTTTATAAGTATTCTGGAATTTTACTGAAGGAGGAAGTTGTTGCTTTGTGTCCTTGAGTTGACTACAACTCATTGCGACCGTATGAACAACAGGTCTCAATCTTGCCCAATTCTGCACCGTCCTCCTGCTCTCCAATGTGCTTGAGCCCATTGTTACAATCACAGTGTCAATCTACCTTATTGAGGGTCTTCCTCTCTTTCTCTGACCCTCTACCTTTCCCAGAATAGCATCTTTTCCCATGGACTGTCCCCTTCTGATAACATGTATGTGCGACAAAGTTTCACCATCCTTGTCTCTAAGGAGCATCCTGGTTGCGCTTTGTCCAGCATTGATTTGTTTGTTCTGATGTTCTCTGTCCACAGAATGTTAAATATTCTTCTCCAACACCACAATTCAAAGTCATTCATTCTTCTTCGGTCTTCCTTACTCAAGAAGGTGGCAATATTTAAAGGAGAAAAGATTTTATTAAAAAAAAAAAAAGAAAGAAAAAAAACCAGTCTGTAATCTACTCTTCATTCCCATTGCACAGACAATTTTCATTCTACTCTTCATTCCCAATGTACAGACAAAACTTAAGCCGCACAACTTTCAGACACAGATGGCCGAGGTAAAAATAAAATGTTGATTACAAAATAAACTCCATTTCTTGCATGAAGTTGTCTACTAATTCTCTTATGGTCTCAACTCAGTTTATTATTTAATGCTTTCATGCATATTAGACTTACTACTCTATTATTGTGTAAAATGAATGTAGCATAATAATCCTATGCAAACCTTATCTCCACACAAAATGTGGCATTTAACTACACTTCCCTTAAAATAGATTGATGTGCTTCTTGAATTAAACTATATGTTAACACTGCCTCCTAGTGGCATGCCATATAGTTTGGAAAATGTTTTTTAAATTCAGATCTTTCAAGAGGTTATTGTCAGAAATCTTCTTTGGAAAGGAAAGCTGGTTCCCAAAGCATGGTCGCAAAGATTTCCTTTATAGTGGATAATTATTTTCAACTGTTAATACTATTTTCCTAAACATTGAGACATATGGACTTTACAAATCAAAAGTCTAAACTCTCTCAAATCAGGAAATGTGTTACTTCTTACTAGTCCAAGCCTATCAAATAAAAAAAGTTTTAAGTTGGATTCTTGGTAAGAGAAGTGTGGGACCAGGACAGGAGAGATGATTCCCCAAACCAAGGAATTCACCTTCCTGTCAAAAAGTCAAAGTTCCTTGTCTTGCTGAGAGTCTAAAGTTTACCCTTAATGCCTCCTGTGTCTTCACCGCGATAGTAAAGCAATTTGGGGGTGAGTGAGCCACTGGCCTGTGCAGGTCCACGATGGAAAATTGGACGAAAAAAACTCAGGAGCTTCCGTTCCCAACTTCTCCAGGGGAGGGCAGCAGGTAACCAGAAGAAAATGCCAGCCTTGACCTATTTTGCACTGCCCATCAAAAGTACCCCTCCTTTGTCCTGGTCCATTTTCTCCAAAGATACACAAATCATTGAGTAATATTCAGAACAGCTCAGCCAGCAACGAAGACCCTTTCCCCCCCAGAGATCTATGCTTTCCCAGCTTCGAGCACAATAAATGGGAATAATAGAGCCTTTTACAATCCCCTCCCCCACCTGTTAATGACATCCCCTCATCAAGTTCATAACCTCCCCTTGTGTTAGATTCAGCGGGTCGACAACTCTGACTATCACAACGAAGGGAAAAGTCAATTTGAAGAGAGGGTAGTGGGGAAGACCTGTGGACTAGCTCAGCAATCTGCCTGATCGGCTGTTGGATTCCGTGGTACCTACTCATAGCTAACCCTCCAGGGCTTTTTCAGAGGCTGTAAATTTCCAAGAAGAAGATGACCAATATTTTTCCTGCGGAGCAACTGGTGGATTCCAAATGTCTGCCTTCGGGTTGGCAGCACAACTCTTTACCATTGGGCCTTCAGAGCTACCAGGACGGAAAGTTGTGTGCCATTGAGTTGTAACGCCCCAGCGGGTTTTCAGAGGCAGCAAGCGGCAGGGGAGACTGCCCTCTGTTTCCAAACATCTTCAGGATCAAAGGAGCCCTTAGTGTTTGAGCAGAGCATGACAGAAGGCAACCAATGCAAAGACTTCTCGCAGATGGTTCCAGGACGTGGAGGGTCATTTAGAGAAGGGGGTGGTGAGTGAAAGGAGTAGACAGAAAGTATTTCCAATTTTCAAGCAGCGGGTGCCATTCTTTTGGCCTTTGGAGAGCAGAAAAATTAAAGAAATGGAAAGTGAGAGAGACAGATACTGTTTTTGCTGCTAAGAATTGTATAAATAATGACAAACAATTCAAACATAGCCAAAGTTGATTTATTTCTATGCCACTTAATCAAACACATGATTATTTTAGCATGTGGTTTGATTGCCATTTGCAAACGTGACACTTAGGAACGTTTCCTATGCCAATTTTTTCATGAAGTTTCAACGGAAGGACTTAACTTACTTTTAACTAAAAGTTAGTCCCCCAGATGCCTAAAATATCTTTTACAATCATCACTTATAAGCAAATTTCAAAATCATTTCTATTTGTTCCTTTAAGTGGAATCTGCAAGTCTCTGCTTGACCCTATTTTGAGGCTGTTTGTTCCCATTTATTATTACACGGCCTTGAAAGGAAAAGGCTGAATATCTTTTGAAATAGTTTCAGCTTTTGTCTTAACTCAGCCTAAGCTTCCTTCCGATTATTTTGATTTAATGAGATTTTACTGTTCTTTAGAAAGGTTAATGTTTTAACATCTGAACTGTTGTGGGGGAAATGCAGCCATTTCTTTAAACCGCAATAGAACTGAGCAGAAAAAGCAATGAATAAATCAAGAATCAATAATTTAGGATGCAAGCCCTCGCTTTGTCACTGCCTGGCTGTGCACCATTGGGTAAATCACCTTGCCTCTCTGACCCATAATTTCATCCATAAAATTATCATCTTGGACACTTTACTGAAAAAATCTCATCCTTTCATGTTTCCAATTTGCTGATATGGACAAACACTAGCCTCATCCCTGTCTGTAAATATTTACAGAGTGTCACTTGCTTGCATGTTCCAGAAGAGTTAATTGTTAATTAATTATTCCCCTGACTAAACAGACAACAGACCAAAACAAATAGCACTGTTTAGAGGCTCTGGGAAATGTCATTAGCTTAAGCTCAGCCTGGCCCTGGAAAATGAAAATGTCACTCCTGCCCACAGGTGCAATTTCTTAGGAAGAGCTGCTTCTGTGCTTTTTCAAGTTATAAATTGTTTCTATTTTCAGGGCTCAGAATTCTTTCTCTGTATATCTGCCTAAGCTAGAATAGTTCTATAAAGTTCCAAGTGGATAATTACTAGCTTAGGTTTTTCATCTCCCTAGGAAGGAAGAGAACTGTCTTCTGATATTTTGAGAATGATGTGGTGGAATTTAGGAGCTGAAAGTTTGGAGACTTTTCCTCTCAAAGAGCTGTTGTCAAGGGAGCTCTGGTGGTCTAGTGGCAAGAAGCTGTGTTGCAATCCGGAGGTGCACGGTCTGAATCCACCAGATGCTCTACCGCAGAAGGAGGGGCAATCGCCTCCTGTGTCAGTCAGATCTGATTCAACCGTACACAACAGGGGCAGGGGGAAGAACTGTTGTCAGTGGCTTGAGGAATTTAAAATGGGTAACTCTAGTCTGGATGTTGTTGTTGTTGCGGTTGTTATTGTTAGGTGCCATCAAGTCAACTACAACTCATAGCAACCCTATGAACAACAGATCTGAATTTTGCGCTACCCTGTGTCACTGTCACCATCTGTGATACGCTAGAGCTCATTCTTACAGTCACTGTGTCAATCCATCTCGTTGAGGGTCTTTCTAACTCTAACCTACCTTTTCACAG